CCCTTCCCTCCCTGCTACCCTGCGCTATCCCGCGCACTACTTCCAACTCACCGCGCCACTTCCCCTCCCCGCTTCGCACTCCTTCCCCCCCCACACGCCCCTGCCATCTCCTCCGCGCGTTTTCTTTCCCCACCTGCTTCGTGCTCCCTCCCCTACCCGCGCGACACATGGCACAATAGGACAAGGCTTACAAATCATCAAACATCATAGAACTTGCCAATTTTTTTGTTTTTTTTTTAGTTCGTTTTGATTCTTTTCGAAAACTTTTCTTTTTTCGCAGTTCGTTTTCTTTTTCATAGTCAGCAATTATTATTATAATATTCTCTTTTCCTTGTCATTTATCTTTCAAAATTTAATTTCGCAATTAATCAATTTAGCCATTTTGAAATACTTCTGAATCTGGAAAATTTTTCGAATATTTTGCATTTCGAAATTAATATCTTCGAAAATACCCTAAAATTTCCTTTATTCCACCCAAAAATTGCATTTCCATTTTTTAAATTCCAAAAAGTTTTTCTTGCAAACATTTTTAATTACTTAAATAATTAAACTCCAAAAAAGAACCAAATCAACTTTTAAATCCGAATTCACTTTCTTTTCGTTTCGAAAATTCTACAATTTATTTTCAAATTTCGTTTTATTTTTTTCAAATTTGACCTTTTTCTTTTCCAACATTTCTTTTCTTTTTTCGAAGTAATTCGAAAATCCTGATTTAAATTATTTTCATAATTATCAATTAAATACGTTAAAAATTCAAAATAACCCCCTAAAATATAGCATTTTTTAACATTTTTTCCATTTATTCCAATTTTATTTTTTTTGCATTTTGTCACGAAAAATAGCCCGAAATTTTTTACTGTCATTTAAAATTTCTTTCCAAGAATTTTTCCCTTTTAAAAATTAATCGAATAAATTCAAATTTCATCATCTTGAAAATTTAACTTTTCCCTTTTCTTTTCCCCCGAATTTCCTGCAATTTTTCTTCGCCATATTTTATTCCATTCAAAATTTACGTTCCGATTTTAATTTTATTTTTGCGTCCTAAAACCACATGCCACACCGCCAATCCAAGACCTCCCAACGCGCCGCCGCTGCTGCCGCCACTGCTGCCACCTCCGCCGCTGCTGCCACCTCCGTTGTCCCCTCCACTCCATCTTCTCCCTCTGCCCCACCTTCGTCCCTCCCCATGGCCGAAGGCACCTCGAGCATCAACATGGGCTCGCTCCGCGTGGATTTCGTCGAGGATATCCACTGCGAACTTATCGACCAGCTTGGCACCGGGGAGAACACATGTCTCCTCTCCATGTTCCAAGCGCTCTCTGCCTCGCTCCACAAAATCGAGGCCTCCATGACCTCCATATCCGATCGCGTCACCTCCCTCGAAAACCACACACCCGCCATCACCGTCGTCACGATGTCATCCCCCCCTCCTCCTCCGGCCAAGCCATCCAATCCACCTCCGCCGGCCAAACCGGCCAACCATCTTCTTCCAACCAAAATCCCCAACCCCCCTCCTCCGGCCAATCTGGCCAAAGCCTCTCCGCCAGCCAAGCCGGCCAGGCCTCATCCTCCAACACCACTCCCCCACCGTCCTCCACCACCTCCTCTTCCACCCTCGTCACTTCCCTTCCCGTTTCCCTCCCCTCCTCACAACCTACTACAAGCGCTTCCACCACTACACAAACCACTCCCCTGCGCCTCTCCTCCCCCTTTACCCAACCTATCCTCACTACTTCCACCGTCCCCTCTGTCCACCCCTCCTACTCCCAAATCCTTTCGGGCGTTTACCCCACCATACCCCAACATCCTCCTTGCTACCTCCTTGGTGACCACAGTCAGGATCACACCTGCTACGACACCTCTCCTGACGACCGTAACTTCAACAACCTCGCTTGCATCGTCCCCCCCAACGGGGACATTCCCCGCTCCTTCCGCGCCACCGATATCGCGACGTTCTCCGGCCTCCCCCTCCTCTCTCAAATTCAAAATGCTTTCGACCTCCACAACATGCCCCTCGCTCATTGGCTCCCCACCGCAACCTCCCGCCTCCAAGGCGCCGCCGCTCAATGGTGGTTAACCGAAGCCAACAACCGCCAAGCCAACGGCCTTCCCTGCATCACCTTCCTTCAATGGGCCGACCTTCTCATCGCCACCTTCCGTCCACAAAAGACCATCGATGACTACATCGATCAATTTTGCAACCTCCGCCAAACCGGCCCCACTGAGCGATTCATCCAATACGTTCGCTCCCTCCGCCTCCACATCCCGTCAACTCTCATTCCCGACTACGTCTTCACCCGCATCAAGCGGGTATGCTTCCCCCACCTCGCCGCAGCCCTCGCCCACGAGCCCGAGCTCCCTCTCACCGATCTCCTTACCCACCTTCTCCACCATGATCGCCTTCCTCACCTCCGCTCTCAACGACCAGCCGCCCGCAACCGCACCCGGTTTTTCCACAACATGGCCTCCGACGACTCGTCACTCCCCTCCGACGACGGCTTTGACTCCTCTCCCGAGTCCCTTGACCCAGCCCAATTCACCGAGGAAGACTTTCAGGCTGTCCATCTCACGAGGATGGAACGGCAACGCCTGGCCTCCCAACTTTCCTCCTCCCCCCAACCCCCTCGTCTCAAAATGCTCACCCCCGCCGAACGCGCCTTCCTCCAGGCCAATGGCGGTTGTTTCCGTTGCCGCCAGCTGGGGCATCAGCAAACCAATTGCCCCAAGGCCTGCCGCTCCACCCACCAAACTTCCCGCCCCACCGGATCCAGCCCTCCCATATCCACTTCCTCCTCCTCCACCACGGCCTCTGGCCCTCCTCCTCTTAAACACTATCCCCCCGCCCCTTGCAGCCATGTCCTGGCATCAACAATTCGTCTGCCGGCAACGACTTTCACACTGGACACCCCCCAGGCGCCTGCCCTCCTCCTGACGACGTCCTCTATTCCATCGGCTGAGCACCCCACGGCCGCATGTTCCACTACCCTCCTCCCCAATCCCTCCACCATCACTTTCTCCGATCTCGTTGAGGAACAAGACCGACACACTCGGCTTGTTAGATTAGGCCTCGAGCAGCGCCGCCTCAGCGCCATGATCTCCTTCGCTTGTGCCAGGACTGCCCGGTTCCAGCTCAAGTTCGTCGCCGTCTCCTTTGGAGCATCGACGGTGAAGTCCCGGGCCCTTCTCGACATTGGTGCCACCGACAACTTCATTACGGATGTCTGTGTCCTCAAAGTCGGCCTCTCTTCCACCGCCTATGATTACCCGATCACCATACGCCTAGGGGATAAGGACTCGGCCATCGTCGCCGACCACATAGTCCCCGAGACCACAATGACTGTCGGCCCTCTTCGCAGTCAGGTCTCCTTCGATGCCATGCACCTCATGTGCGACATCGTACTCGGGGCTCCTTGGCTCGACCGCTATATGCCCTATACCTTCCCCCCCTCTTTCGTCCGCCTCTCCACCCCTTGACATCCCCTACCTTCTCCCTCCCTCCACCCCTTCCCCGTCTCTCCTCACCAATTTCTTCAAATGACCCGTGAGCACCATGACTCTGCCTACTATTGCCTTGTCATTGACCGTGACCGTCCCGAGAGATGTGTATAAGAGACAGGCCCTATACCTTCCCCCCCTCTTTCGTCCGCCTCTCCACCCCTTGACATCCCCTACCTTCTCCCTCCCTCCACCCCTTCCCCGTCTCTCCTCACCAATTTCTTCAAATGACCCGTGAGCACCATGACTCTGCCTACTATTGCCTTGTCATTGACCGTGACCGTCCCGAGGATTTGCTTCCAACGGACAAACCCGACCAAGACCCCCCCTCCGACCCTCAAATCTCCGCCCTCCTATCCGAATTCAAAGACGTGTTTCCCGAATCCTTGCCCGCCGGACTACCTCTCGACCGAGGTGTTTCCCACACCATCGATCTCGAGCCCGGCCACTTCCCCCCTTGCCGCCCCCCATACCAGCTCTCCATCCCCGAGGCCGAAGAAATGAAGTGCCAACTCAATGAACTCCTTGAAAAAGGATTCATTAAGCCTAGCTCCTCCCCCTTCGGCACCAGCTGTCTCTTCGTCAAGAAAAACGGCACCTCGGAACTCCGCATGTGCACAGACTACCGCACATTGAACCGGATCACGATCAAGAACAAGTATCCGCTTCCCCGGATATCCGAACTTCTTGATCGCCTTCGTGGAGCCGAATACTTCACCAAGATCGACCTCCGCAGTGGCTTCCACCAGATCCGCATCCGCGAGGAGGACACCCACAAAACCGCCTTCCGCTCCCGCTTCGGGCACTACGAGTTTCTCGTAATGCCTTCCGGTCTCACCAACGCCCCCGCCACATTCCAATCCACCATGAACCACATCTTTCGCGACCTCCTCGAAGTCTGTGTCGTGATCTACCTCGGCGACATCCTTGTTTTTAGCCCCACCTTCGAGTCCCACCTTGATCATCTCCGCCAAGTTCTCACCATCCTCCGCGACCAGAAATTCTACGCCAAGCTCGGCAAATGCACATTTGCTGCCTCTAGCGTAGAATACCTTGGTCACATTGTCTCCACCGACGGCATCCGCATGGACCCCAAAAAGGTCTCTGCCCTCGTCGAGTTCCCCCCTCCCACCACTTTAACCCAACTTCGCTCCTTCACGGGACTCGCCAACTACTACCACCCTTTCATCCGCAACTTCTCCAACGTTTCCTACCCTCTCCATGAGCTCACCCGTGCCACCGAACCCTTCGCCTGGACAGACCGCCGCCAAGCCGCCTTCGACAAAATCAAGGAGCTCATCACCACTGCCCCTGTCCTCAAAATCGCCGACCCCACTCGCCACTTCTTCGTCACCACGGATGCCTCCGACTTTGCCATCGGGGCCGTCTTATCCGAGCACCTTTCCCACGACCCCGCGAAAACCCCCTCCCTCAAGGACTCCCCCACTCACTCCCAATGCCCACCCGACGAGCACCCCATCGCATTCGCCAGCAAGAAACTCCTTCCCGCAGAAATGAACTACCCATCCAACGAGAAGGAGCTCCTCGTCGTGGTCTACGCCCTCAAAGTCTGGCGCCCGTACCTCGACGGGCAATATTTCACCATCCGTACCGATAACACCGTCGTTTCCTCTATTCTTACCAAGAAAGACATCACCCCTCGCCAAGCCCGCTGGCTCGACTTCCTTGCCCAATTTACCTTCACCATTTGCCACACCCCCGACAAAAGCAACTGTGTTGTCGATGCCCTCTCCCGCCGTCCCGACCACAAGCCCGTTGAGAAAGTCTACGCCGCCATGACCCACATCCAGCTCCTGCCATCGCTCCACCATCGCTACACCCAAGGATACCTCTCTTGCCCTGACTTCTCCACCATTTACAACAAGCTCCGTGACCTCGACCCCGTCTCCGACTACGCCCTCCACGACAACCTTCTCTACATTGAAACCAAAGGCACCCGTCGACTCTACATCCCTGACGCCCGTGGCCTTCGCACCCAGCTCTTGGTCGAGCACCACGACGCCAAGACCGCTGGCCACCTTGGTTGATATCATCTCCCGTTATTTCCATTGGCCTTCCCTCCTTCCCAACGTCAAAGCCTACATCCGCTCGTGCCCCACGTGTCAGGCCGTCAACCCCTCGAACCCGGCTAAGCCCGGCATGCTTCAATCATTGCCCATCCCCACCCACCGCTGGCAGTCTGTCTCCATGGACTTCGTGTGCGGTCTTCCCAAGACCGACCTCTGGCATGACTGCATCTACGTCATTGTTTGCCGCCTGACCAAACGTGCTCACTTCATCCCATGTACCACCTCGCAGAACGCCTTGCCATTCTCTTCTTCGACCATGTCGCCAGACACCACGGCCTCCCCGAGAATATCATCAGTGATCGTGACCCCCGCTTCCTCTCCCAATTATGGAAACAGCTCTTCAATGCCTACGGAACCACGCTCAGGTACAACACTGCATTCCATCCACAGACCGATGGACAGACCGAGAAGATGAACGATACTCTCCAAAGAATCTTGCGAAAGTATTGTCATCCCCACCAGCACGATTGGGATCAGCTGATCACCGTCGCCGAGATTGCCTACAACAACGTCGTTTGCCCTTCCGCTGGCATGTCCCCCTTCTACCTTGACCTTGGCTATCACCCACGCTTGCCTTCTGACTTCTTGCTCCCCTTGCAACTCAAAACCATCCTTCCCCTGTCCCTCTCTCAATGAATGGGTTGCAACAATGAACTGTCTCCTAAGAGAAGCAACCGAGTCAATCAAGCACACCCAAGAACAACAAGCTAAACAAGTCAACAAGCATCGCTGTAATATCACCTTCCAAGTAGGGGACAAAGTCTGGCTCTCCGCCCAACGCTTTGAACCCGAACAGGGCTTGTCCAAGAAACTCTCGAACAAGTGGCTCGGTCCCTTCCCCATCATCGAACAAACCTCTCCCGTGAACTACAAACTCCAGCTACCCCCTGACATGAGCCGTGTACACCCAGTCTTCCACGTAGAATATCTCAAGGAATAGCACGAATCCCCGCCTCAGTTCGCTGATCGCCCATATCGTCGACCTCCACATATCATGCTTCCCACTAGACCAGGATTCATAGTCGAATCAATCATAGGAAGAAGAACAACCCAAGTCGCAGACCATCCGGAACCAATCACCGAATACAAAGTCAAATGGACCGGATACCCTGACGAAGAATCAACATGGGAACCCCTTGAAAATCTCAAGAATGCCATGAGACTTGCCCACGCCTATGATCGTTCCCACCCTGCATCCTAGCTACCCCCCCTGCCCATACCCTGACTAAACCTTGAACCCTTGCTTAAACCCTGCTACAACCTCCCCACCTTGCTCTACACACACCCTCGCCACAGCCACCCTTGCCCCTGACCCACTTTCCTGATGTCTGATCTGCCCTTGTTTCTCACCTGGCCTTGCCCCATTCGTCCTCTCCACTTCCTTGTCCATCTTGTCCAATGTTTGTGGACCTGCGTGGCGACCGAGATAAGGGATCTAATGGCATGCGCTCGAGGGCGATGGCTTGCTGCATCACTGTTCATGGAGATTATGCAGCTGGATTGGCCACCATGCTGCTACAACGGTCGGCACCCTGCCTCGCAGACTCCCTGGAGCAGCTACTTGTCACATGAACCATGTACCAGTCTGCGACTCCCTTGCTACCGGATCAGACTCCATTGCCAATCATGTACTGGACTGAGCACTTCGACTTCTACCTCTACGACTACCTTCTGTCGCAGCCGCTGAAGACCGCCTTGCTGCCTACTTTGGGACCTGCTCAAGACCTCCGAAGACCCCTTTCTTGCTGCTGATCAAGACACCTGAAGACCCCCCCCAGACCCCTTGACCCATTACAGACCTCAGACTATGTACCCAGATCCCATCAGACACCCCAGCCCTTGTACATGTGAACTGTGCCCTTGAACCTGCAACATACTACAATTCTTTTATTTTATTTTTGGTCCCCTGATAACCCATAACCTTGTAGAATTTCAATAGAAATACCCCGTTCACCCTTGTAGAAAATCAATAGGAATACCCTATCCCCTGTTCCCCCTTGTAGAACATCAGTAGGATATCCTGTTACCTGCTCCCCCTTGTAGAATATCAATAGGACTATCCTGTTTCCCCGCAATACCCTTAGCCCATCAGTAGGATATCCTGTTACCGGACACCCGGTATTTATACCTGTATTGTGCCCAGTACAGTACGGGGACCAGTCTCATATCAGTTTCCAGCTGCAGTACTCGTACCCAGTGTGACTTGCTCCTGTTCCGGCATTCGGAATCCAAGACTTCGACTTTGTGTCCTTGTCACTGTGTCTGCGTCCGACCCTTAGTCGTGTGGAGTGAGTAAGTGTGTGTGTGTGCTCTCCCTCTGTCTCTCCTCTCCCTCAGCTCTCCCTGTCTCCCTCAACCTCGCGCTCGTTACAGTGGACACTTCGATTCTGATAAAACTTATGGACGACTTTTGCAGCAATTTGTTCGGTCGGGAATGAAGGGATCCGTTGTTATTGTTGAATGTCAAGTCTGTCAAAGAACCAAGGTCCATACGCATAAGCCTTATAGCCTGCCAAAAACCCTCCCCATTCCTAATGTACCCAGTGAGTCGGTTTCCATCGATTTCACAAACAAGGGAAAGGTGAGTGAGGGAGAAAATTCACAAGTCATGGTCATCCTGGATCGTTTTTCCAAATTTTTGAATTTGATTTCTTGCCTCCTCATGCCCCAACTGAGCTTGTGATCGAAGAATTTCATCAGCAATACATTCTGCAGTATGGCCACCCGAAGACTCTTGTGAGCGATCGGGACACCACTCAAATCTACGACATTAAACTCAACATGACTTCTGGTCGACACCCCGAATCCAATGGATTGGCCGAAGAAATCAACCAGACATTCATTCAATTACTTCGCGAGTTAATTGTTCTTGATCAGAACACCCCTCCTCGACTAAGGTGACACCGAATCAACTGCAATACGGTTGGCAGCTGCACAATCCTCTCGCCTATTTGTTCCCCGATCGGTCACCTGGTCTGCCGCCCGGCATGCCTGGCTACAATGCCAAGTATGCACGCTTGCTCAAAGCTGCATCTCAACGATGAACAAGCGTCAGCATGCCATGATCAAACATGCTAACAAGTCGCGCAAGGAAGGGAACTTCGAAGTAGGAAGTTATGTTTAGGTCAAAATGTCTAAATTTTCTCGAAGAGGGCGTATCACGAAAGCTTCTTTCACTGTACTATGGCCCTTGGCAAGTTCTAAAGGTGTTAGGGGATGATTTTGGTCCTTCGTATGTGATTGACGTGCCTCCTCGTTTGCGCACCTATCTCGTCTTTCATGCGTCAAAATTGTTTCACACATCGATGATGAGACTTTTCCCTTTCGCGATCCTATGAGACTCGTGCTATCAACAGTGACCACGAAATAGACAGAATTGTTTCCCATGAAGGAAGAGGGAGGAACAGACGGTACAAAGTTCACTTCCTTTATCACCCATTAAACGAGTTCTACTGGATCGACCAAAAAGCGTTGTCGGCGCGAATACCCTTACAAGGGTATCCGCCCTTCCTTTTGCAAGTGACAAGAAGGTTGGTTAAACCAGAATTTTGGAAGGTTCGCGCGGATTGTGGTGATTGACTGCGCATTAGATTAGAGGTTATTAGAGTTGGAAGGATGCGTGAGCGCGCAGTTAAGGCGCACGTGTGATTTTTTTCGTTGATCATGTAGCCGGCCTAATTGACCGGCCAGAAACGTTCGTCTTTTGTTCGGCACGCTTGACCGGCAGTTGGTCTGGCGCGTAGGGCGGCGGGTGGGGCAGCCATGGCGCAATTTGGGCCAGCCAGCGCGGGTGCCTGGCGGCCGTACGCTTAGTTGTAGGTAGAAATGTGGCCCAAGGCGTTTTCCTGGCCCTGAACACGGCGTACACCGCCTTAGATGGAATTCGGCGCACGTTGGTCTCAGACTTGGGCTCAGCCCTATAGGTTACGGCATTGGACTTGTAGGACGGAGGTATGGGGGTCGAGGCCACCGGGTGACGACGCACGAGTGATGGAGCATTGAAGAAGCTGAGGGGTCGAGGGTCCCGCGGGACTATCCCCCTTAGCTTTGTCGAGGGAGTCCGGCCGCGGGCCCGCGTGGCTGAACCAAGGAAGTGCTGGTAGATCCCGCAGCTTATTTGTTTCGTCGGATGTCCCACTTTTTTTTTTTTTTTTTTTTTTTTTAAGTTTTGTTTCAGCGCTATGGTTACTTTCGTCGGGGGCCGGTGCCGCTTTCAGGACCGATCATCAGGCCACTGGCCTGCTACGGCAGGTACACCCATGAACTGTTAGAAAACATGTTCGAGTGATGGTGATGCCTTGGATTGAAGCCCATGAACTGGTAGGGCCGCCCCGTAGCTTGGTCCTTCGGGACATCCGTTAAAATTGGAACGATACAGAGGAGATTGGCATGGCCCCTGTGCCAGGATGGAACGTAAAGGGGAGAGAGCACAGCTAGAACGTTTTTTGTCGCCTTTCTGTGCTCGCCAAGGATTGAAGCCCGACGCTGCGGATTTGGCTGCGATCGAAACCGTTATAGCGGAGCGCGAAGGTAAGAGGGCGACGGGAAAGCAGGCGCTAACAGTAGACAGTGGCAACAAGGTCGAGTCAGCAAGCGCAGCGGAGAAAAGTGCAGACTAAGATGAGAGAATCGTGGGGGGGCATGTAAGGCAAAGAAAGGCAGCGGAGTGACGCCGCTAAGGCAAGGAACGCAGCGCAGGCAGAGGGGAATGAACCCGGGTGGGCAGATGCACCGGGTGCATGCAAAGAGCCACGGGCTATGGCAAAAGGAGAAGGGAGGGGAAAAGCTCTTTCTCGCTCGTTAGTGGGCAGATTCAGCCGAGAGAAGGTTCGTTCTGAGGGTTTTGACCATGGGCGTCTCTGAATCTGTCACTAGTTTTGGCTATAAGTCAGTGGAATTACTGTTAGTAGGAAGAAAAGTTGTGTGAAGGTGGCAAAGGCGGGGGAGAAGAAGAAGAAGGCGGGGGCTTGATAGGATCTCGGTCTTCCCTGACCGATTCGAGCGATCCGAAAGCATAGGCG